GGCACAGCCCTGCCACTCGCTGGTTACCTGGGCCAGGCTCTTCCCAGATGAAAAGCTGTTGCCCGGAGCAGCTGCTTACCTGAGCCCACCCCACAGCCTCAGACTTGGCTTTATGTGCAGGGCAGCACCGCCTCCCCCCACTGCACCTCGTTTGATGTGGTCACGGCCCCGCAGCGGCAGAGGAGTGCCCGTGCCACCCTGGCAGGGCACGAGTACCTGTTTCTTGCGCAGACTGTAAAACAAGGCTTCCTTCTGCATCCCAAAGCCGACGTAGACCAGGGTACCGGGTTCCCAAGGACAGAACGCAGCCAGGCTGGGTGGGAGGCTGCCGAGACCCTGATGGGGAAAAGCAAAGGGAACAAAATCGAGGCTAGCTTCTCCAGCCCGACCCAACACAGCAGGGGACAAAAGGAGAGCACGGAAGGACACCAGCCCTTGGGCTGCAGGTGTCCGAGTAGCAGGAATTCAGTATGATGGAGGCTGTTTTCTCTCTTGTATCGCCATCTCAGACGTGCTCATGGCAAAGCAAGGAGAAATGACATGCTGCCATAGAAACCTGAAGCAAATTGTTTACTGTCATAGGAGCAGGACACATGAGGGTCCAGCAGGTTGAATTTCCACTGAGGCATTATTCCTATGTGGGCTTGAAGGTGGGATTGGGTTATGGATCGGTTTAACACAAGAAAATAGGGCCCAGAAGATAGATCTTTAGTATATCCCCAGTTCACTGTGGGGGAAACCTGTCCTGAGTTTCCTTCCTGGAGAGGAAATCCATCATTTTGGAAACAAACAGAAGAGACATTGACAGAATCCAACTGCGCTATGGGCCCGGACAGCGCTTGGCCCTGAGGGTGGCGGGCTGAGGCACCACCGCTTGCCCCCACCCCAAAAAGACTCAGCTCCCTTCGGCATGCCAGTGTCACAGGTACTGGGGACCATCGCCACATCCTCTCCGATGCAGACCCTCCTCCCCTTTCTAGCGGGTGTCCTGCTGCCCAAATCCCACAGCTGGGTGGGAGCCCAAGGGTTCTGCAAAGCGTCACAGAGGCACAGGGCTGGAGTACTTGGCTCTATGAACCCGCCGCTGGGCTCCTGGCTCTGAATATTCATGCTCCTTGGGAGCGTCAGAGCTAGCAGCATGCTCATCGTTAGGTCTCTCTCCTGTGCGCTGCGCTCACTGCTGCCTGTGCTCTGTTTTGCATAGCACAGGGGTGTCAGCTCTTTGCAGATGCAGTTTTTGACTCCTCACGCTTACAAGGTCGGTGCTTCAGCACTGCTACAGTTCCCACTGCCTTCCGACACGCAACAAGGTGCATTAACAAGATACTCTACAAGCAGCAGAACTAACGAAGATGACTTTCCTAACCACACGCTCTCCTTGGCCCCATCCCACCGAGAGCCTTGAGGCATCCCTCCTCCAACTTGGCTGCTGCCAAGTCCCACGCCATGAGCAGGCAGGGCCTGGCAGGGGCTGGCAAACGCCACGCTCACCTCGGGGCCGGCAGGAGCTGGGAAGCTGAGCCAGTCGAGGAGCTCGCACTTATCCTTCAGCCAGTCGGAGGCCCAGACGCTGACCCGCCGGTCCGAGCTGGTGGCCAGCCAGAGCTCACCACCTTCCACCCCAAAGTCGCGGTACTACGGAAGATAAAAGCAACGCTGAGACTCTGGCAGTACAGAAGCTGTAAAGAAAGCTGCTGCAAATGCTAGCGTGGGGCAGGAGCTCGTGGGATCCATAGGGGATCAGCGCCAGGATTAACCTCCATTTGGGCAGTGCTTAAAGTCACTTATCACAATAAAATAGGACAAGGAAGCCGTGGTACTGGAATCAGCAGTACGCTCCGGGCTGAAAGCCCCGGCAGAAGAGGCTGCTGGAGGAGGGGTGAGTGCCTGGCCTGAACGACACAGATCCCTTCCCTGGGACATCCTCTGGATCTGCACGTCTCCTAGGGGAGCGCTTGCAGATACTGTGTCCCCTACCAATGTCCTTCACCTAAAACCGAGGAGGATCTCAAGTCTAGAATTACCAGGGAACACAGCTTTGCAGCGCGGATAATTTTAAAGCCTGAGAAATTAGGCAAAACTACTCTCATTTCTGCTGCGCAAAGGAAAAAGACTCTTCACGACGAGAAGGGCAAAGAAGATGCTAAACCCATCACGCTGCTGCACAAGCAAGTCTTCCTAGCTCCACAGAGGAACCATACAAAGAGCCAGCTACACGCAAGAGGGAAGCGGGGAAAGCACGCCAAGCCCTTTCCTGGGGGCACAGGGGCTGAATGCTCACAGCCTGGGGGTGCTGCTCCCCAAGAGCCTGTGGTTGTGGGCACGTGTCACATCTGTGTGCAGCCCCCAACCGCCCTCCCGCCCGCAGGCACAGCCTCGCTCGGGATTGCGCCTGCAATGCTGCAGCTTTAGCCCACTGAAGACATCCCTAGAAAAACTGAACAGAAGTCACTGGAGGGGATGGGGGCCTGAAGAGGAAAGGCGAGGGGCAACGAAGCAAGCTCGCTGAGTGACCCGGCCACGCTGCTGCTGCTTCCCACGGCTGCCCAGCGACTCACAGGGGACTGGCTCCCACACAGCCCCAGGGCAGAGGGTGAGGTCTCACCTCCTTCCTGGTGCACTGGAGAACAGTGATGGGGGAGCCTTTGTGGTCAGCGAGGACGCGGATAGTCATTCCGGTGCGAGGGCTGCTGACAGCCACGAGCCCGTCCTTGCCCCCCGATAAGATCATTTCTCCTGTGGGCAGAGGAGAGAAAAGAGTGGGACACTTCTTGTAGGAGCAATAAAAGCCCATAGGAGAAAGGTCCAAGATCATGGAATACTGGTGTCCTAAAACATGCGAAAGGGCTGGGAACATGAACATTGCAGTCAAGGGCTGGGTCAGATGAGATGTCTCAGAGACACACTAAAACCCAATGCTGAAGAAGCGCCACTGCAGACTGTGAGCAGGAGGACACAGGAACGCTGCTTGTACTCCAGCCCCTTTGCTATACCATTGCCAATACACCTCCTGTGTCCCATTTACCACATGCTCAGCTGGCAGAGCTACCAACACTCATTGATACAAGTTCTCTGGCTCTCCCTGGCCCCAGGCTTTTGGGCAGGTCACCAGCACGCAGCTGGAGCGGCTGGAGGTCAGGGTAACCCAGGCACAACCAAGCCATGCTCCCCCAAGGCAACGTCTCCCCACCGCTGTAACAGGCAGCCTCACCGTCTGTGGAGTAGGTGATTGCTGTCAGTGCAACGGCATGGGGGTGCATTTTCAGCTCCATCTCGGTCCTGGAAATGCTGAACACACGGATGGTGCCATCGCTGTACCCCGCCACTACATGCTGGCTCTCAGCTCCCCATGCAACGACGGGCCGGGGCTTCCAGGCCAGGCATTGGCAGCTCTGCAAAGGAACCAGGGCAGAGACCCAATGCACAGTGAAGACAGCAGGACCATGCAATCAGTGCACTAAAAGCTCCACCTGCAAGTATTTCTCCAGCTTTAGTCTACTCTGCGAGGACGCAGCAGTCCTTGCGATCCCAAGCAGTGGACTGTGCCCTCTCCCACGAGGAAGAGATTGCTGCACCACAAATGATTACCTGGTTGAGCACCTGGAACTGTACCACCAGCTCCATGCTGCCCAGAGACCAAATCCTCACGCTGCCATCTTCCCCGCACGTTGCGCAGTGAGTCTCATCAGGACTGAAGCACGCTTCAGTCACCTGCAGCGAGAATGGAGATGGGGAATGGGGGCCCTACAAAGGCCACAGCCTAGAGGACATCAGCTCCTCTGCCCCTCTCATCCCCCAGGACCCCTCTCATGGGGACAAGAAGCCCCAGACGTAAAGGAAGGTAAGGTGCTTTGGTTTTGTGCTTGTCTTAGGCTGATAACTAGGCTTGTGATGGAAACCAGTAAACCTAACCCCAGAGCTAGGACCAGGTACCACGCAACGTAGGCGTAAGCAAAATACCTTCTCTTCACTCTTTGAAATATTTTGCTGGTAGCATAAGGATACCTCAAAGCAACAGTAACATTTAAAATGGTCATTCTTCATCTGGGGTTGGGTTTTGGATTTTTTTTTTATTTTTTATTTTTTAGGCAAAGAAAATGTTATCCAGCGTGGATGCCCAGCTAGCAAACAGAAGGCAGGCAGAAGTTGCAGCCCTCAGGAATGAAGCCTTAGTGACTGCAAACTGCATTCTTCTGCTCCAGCAGAAAGGCCCAGGGCCGCTCCAGGCTGAGGCTGTTAAACACCTGAGGCTAGAGCGGGTGAGCTCAGACTTCTTGACGTGCGTGTCTCTCCCTAGCCTCCTCCGTGTTGTCCCGTCAGTGCTAGCGAGCCCTGCAGCTCCCTCACCTCTCCCATGGCCAGACCAGGGAAGGCTTCGCAGCCCGCACACGCTTCCCAGGGCACGGACAGCAGATGCAGCACTCGCTGCTCCGCAGGACAAACCAGCCCAGCCCCTCTAACCTTGTTCTTGTGGCCGCTGATCAGTCGGATGCTTGTGCTCTCCGTCCAGTTGATGTACCACAGGGTTCCTGCCGTGGTGCCCACAATTCCCATTTCTAGAGAGTCATCAAAGGCTGCACTGACTATCGTCCCGTCGAGGGTGATCTCATGTTCTAGCAGGACTGAGCTAGACCTGGAGGAAAAGAGGACGTGAGGATGACTGCCTCAGCCACTGGAACAGCCACTCTGCCTCCTTTAAATGCAGTTTTCCAATGAGCCCAGTCATGTATTTGCAGTTAAATGGTTCAGTGAGGGGCTCCTGTACATTGCACAGTGACTACCGTTGCCTTTCCACTGCAACCATCTTCTATAGGAAGGAAAGAAAGCAGGGAATGCAACAGCACAAGAGAAGAAACAAAGGCAATGTATTTCACAAAGTCTCTCAAGTGAGTTCATACAAATCACCAGCACAAACTTCAGGTATGATAAACTCCTCTTATTTCCAACATTACTAGGGTTCAGCTACCTGTGGCAAAAATTCAGTAAAAAGATCCAGACAGAAAGAAACAGCAGTCATGGGACAGAGAGGGAAAGCTAAGGATGAAGAGCAACTGGAGCAGCGTGGTTGCAGCCAGAGCCAACGTCTGTCCGTGCAAAGCCACCTCTCAGACAGGTCCCGGGAGCTGCCAGGTGAGGGGAAGAGCATCTCAAGAGCACCGAGCGTTCTCGCGATGGGCACAAGCACAGCGGGGATGCTGGGGCCACCACCTCCTACCTGGCTTCGGGACCTTTCAGCCTCGACACACCAGCACACCTGGGAGCCCACAGGGGAACGAAGGGCACCCGTGAATCCCCACAGCTCTCGGCCATCACCCACTCCTGACAGCCAGGCCACTGATTCACTTGGGCAGGGCAGCAGGGGTCTTTTACAGCCCAACACCCAGCGTTTTTACAGACTAGAGGTGAACCAGGAACCCCAGGACCCTGAGGAAACCCAGGTCACAGATCTGTTGCCACCCCAGGCATCTTGTATCCAAGACAGCAAACTGGTTTTCTGAGCACAGCTGAAATGGGAGGTTTGCAAGCTCATTTCTGTTCTTCCCTAACGAGTTCCCTGTTACAGCCCTGCCAGACGCCTGGGGCATCTGCACCCACCGATCTCGCCCTCGTCGGCCTCCCACGTCATGAAGCAGCGATGAGTCTCGGTGTGCCACACGCAGATCTGGCCAGAGTTGGTGCCACTATAAAGAAGAGTGTCGGCACCGTAGCAGAGAGAGGTCAGCTCCACTGGCCCTAACACGTCCGGGGCAGGGGCCCGATGAACCTGCCGGAGCACGTAAAACAGAAACGTCAAAGAGGATGTGGTACTTACCTACATCGGGGGAAAAAAAAAACCCAAACCCCACCTCCTACCCTCAAATTCATGCAGTTAATGCCTCAAATACAACTGAAAGCCACTCACAGCCAAGCCAACATCATCTCACTAAGAGAAATCTTCAGCTCTCACAAACTTGTGGGGGCAGAGCTTCCATCACACTCACCAGGGGCTTGGAAAAGAAGGCAGAGAGGCGAACAGAAATTTTAAAAGAAGGTAAAACTGAGGTTTACCTTGAGGCTGACATCAGCTCCCTGCTGCTCCAACAGCCAAAACATCACGGCTCCCTTCCCTACGCAGGCCAGTTCTCGGTGAGAAAGAGGACTGAAAGCCACGTCATGGACTGGCTCCGAGATACAAGTCGACGACATGAGTTCGTAAGTGCAGGTATTCCACAGAGCAATGGTTTGATCGCTGTAGTCCCCTAGGTTAGAACACAAAAGACAGTAGAAGGAAAATCTGCAGCCTCAGTGTTTCTTCAGGACGCTCGCAAGCGCACACCCTGCGCGCACGCATCAACTGCGTCGCTCCCTTGCTGCAAACACCGTCCCAGGCGTGGACGTGGCTCCTTGCGTGCTCAGCGAAAGCTGCACGACACGATGGGTCCTCACCCGAGTTGAGGATGGGTATAACTGGCCCAACGCTTCATGCTGGAGGTTGTAGCGAACCTGGCTCCGCAGCGGGGTCTGCAGCCAGCATCCGAACGGCCGATGGCTGGCGCGGGCGGGATTGCAGCAGGCAGAGCAGGTTTCCTGCTGTTTCTACACCCTCAGGAGCCACCGCACCCCTGAACGTGTGCCCCACGCAAGCCCTCCAGTGACGCTGGGCACTCAGGGCTAACAACAGTCTTGAAACTAAGAGAGGGATGTCACCGTTGCTGGGGTCAAAGCTGAGATGGGAGCTGATCTTAACAGAAGCCACCCTATCTGGGCGGCAGCAGAAAGCACTGGCCTCGGTGAAGGCAAACATCCCAGACAGCTCTGGAGGACAGTGCCCTCCTGCTGCCATTCCCAGGCTCCGTCAGCTCAGTGAAGACCGTCAGCTTTCCTGCAGCCCAGACCGGGGGGTCCTCTCCCACGCCTCTCCGTAGAGAACGCAAAGCTCTCTTCCTCTCCAAAAAAGCTCGCTTTTTTCCAAGGGCAGACTCACCAACCCCGAGAGAGTGCATTGCGTGCTCCGCAGGTCCTCCCTCATGCAAAACAGGAACTTACTAATTGCATATTTGTCCTTTAAATGTCCCCTGCCTAAACAAAACAGACAGCTTGAGCATCCGTCTTGTGCTGGCATTGCTGCCTGGCAGGAGGTGCTCAGTTTGAAGCCTGGCTACTTCTATGTAATTCCACCTAAGCAGCAATAAGAAGTCCAGAAGAACGCTTTCCCCTTTGCATACTATATACAGTAACTGGAAACTATTTACATGGGCTTCACAAGCACTAGTGAGCCAGGAGGAGAACGCCGTAACTTCAAAGCTGGGGCAATGAGAAAGAACTGAAGGGGAGCTGAGGGAGCCCAGCGTTCATGGCTGTGGCCGAGATGCCCAGGGCATGAGCTTCCCCTCCAAATGCCCTGGAAGCGCACTCAGCTGTGAAGAATGCCCCCGCAGGCGGTCACTCCCCACAGGACCCCAGACCACTTGCGGTTTTACATGCCACGTTACCCGTTGTCCCCAGGCTGCCCCGCAACATGTTCGTACCCAGGAGCCTGGTACACGTCTTGCAGGTATTACACATCTTCCTCCCGGGAGCTGCCTGCTCTGGGGCATACTCCTACGCCCAAGGATGTAGGGTGTACACTCCTACACTACAAGGATGATAAAGGGACTGGAGCATCTCCCCTACGAGGAAAGGCTGAGGGAGCTGGGCTTGTTCAGCCTGAAGAAGAGAAGGCTGAGAGGGGATCTCATCACCACCTACAAATATCTCAAGGGTGGGGGTCACGAGAATGGAGCCAGACTCTTTGCAGAGGTGCCCAGCGACAGGACAAGGGGCAATGGGCACAAACTGAAACAGAAGAGGTTTCAGTTGAATATGAAGGAAAACCTCTTGACTTTGAGGGTGCCCGAGCCCTGGCCCAGGCTGCCCAGGGGGGCTGTGGAGTCTCCTTCCCTGGAGATATTCAAAGCCCGCCTGGATGCTGTCCTGTGTAACATGCTCTAGGAGAACCTGCTTGAGCAGGGGGGTGCGACTGGGTGAGCTCCCGAGGTCCCTTCCAACCCCTGCCATTCTGGGATTCTGTGACCCGTGCCTGCTGTTACTGGCATGCTCACCGAGGGTAAGGAGGAACCTGTCGTCCCGAGAGAACGCCATGGCTTGTACTTGCGTCTCATGATGGAAGAGGCTCGCCGTGCAAACCCCACCCTGGACGTTCCAGATGCAGATCTGACAACGGGAGTCTCCACTCCTCTTCCCCGAGGCAGAGGCAAGAACCTAACAGAACAATATGCTGTCACCGAGACCTTGGTAAATAATTAGAGAACACTTCATTAGTTAGCCTTAGCAACTGTTAGTCTCAAATTAAAGTATGTGGTTGGCAAGTGAAAAATTCTGTGAGAACAACCATCAGCTGACAGCAGTAGGGAATGGTAGCATCACCCAGAGGAAGGGAGCAGCCTTTGCTGTCACACCAAGCCAGCACAATGGACAGCTAGGCTCCAAAATAATTTATGTTATTATATTTTAATTCTATTTTCCATAACCCCAGGTCTCCATGCAGCAGGCAAAAGAAGGAATAGATAAATGGGATCTTAGCCCGGAGCGACACAGGCAACACCCAGCCTGGGGCAGCAGGAACCTCTCCTACCTGGGCATCGTGGCTGACGGCGAGCGTAGAGATCTCCTCTGCGTGGCCGAGCCCGTGAGTCTCGCT